TAAGACAAAATTATTTTATAGAAACAANGAAGCTGCCGTGGCAAGACGTGGACTACTTCTGGACGTTTAGAAGTAAAACAATTTGTATAAGACAAAATTATTTTATAGAAACAATTATTAAACTAGCAAAATGTAGATATATGTAAAATGAAATTCATAAAATGTGGCAGCATTCGCATCTAAAAATTTAGGATAATGTAGTTCATCTTTCAAACTTTAATAGATCGCCGCTAAGAACTAAATTTTAGAGTCTGATTCCTGATTGAAATCTGTTACATACACTTAAATTTGCTACTTATTTATACATGCATATGTATGTAATAGGGTGGCACTTAAAACATACAACATACATAGTTTTTTTTTGAACACCCCTTTATTTTGTTCTACTTACAAAATAAAGTCGTCCACGAAAATTTTAAAATCTGAAACAAAAACAAAAAAAAAATCGCCAAAGTTTTATAAATTTTCTTTTTTTGGTGCATATAAATATTTTATCTAATTTATAGCTGGTCAAAATGCAAATTTTGTCGAATTTTTAAAATTTTCTTCTAATTGTAAAATTTTTTAACCTTTAGAAATTTTCGCTGATCACAAAAATTGCATAATTTTTTTTATTCATATAAATAAAGAAATTCGCTGATTCACAGCTGCCCAAAGAAAAAATTTTGTAGAATGTTTGTTTTTTTGTTTAATTTTAGATTGTTTAATTTTGAAATTTTTGTAGATGTTTTTTTTTTGCACGGAGTGTAAAATAAAAGCGTCACCACGTTGTTGATATTTTTAAGCACCACCATAATATTTAGGTATTATTTTTACTTTAGATTTTTCATCGTACTTATTAGAAAAAAATTGAGTGATTCTTAATGATGTCGCAAATACTCGTATGTGGTTTGCCGAGCTACCGAAAGCGGCCTGCGCTTTCTATGCCTGACAGAAATTCAAATATTCCTACACAATATTTTGTTTAATTTTTGTAAAAGTATAAATTACAATTTTAATAAATAGTAGGTATACATATTCACTAAGGGTTTTGAGATGTCAGCACTTTCTTTAACACAGGTTGAGTGCATTTTTTAATTTTTAAAATTTTAGGGCAACAATATTTATGTGCGCGGTTTTAACTTTAACAACAATTTAACAAATAAAAAGGAACACATTTATAAAATTTAGTTTTTATTTCTATAAATTTTAGGGATGCGTTTTATTTTAATACATTTATTCATGTTTTTTAATTAAGTTTGTTTCAATCATTAAATTAATAATTTTTATTTGAATCTCGTTTTAGCATGTTTTATATGTATAAGTTTTCGAGTTATTTAGTTACATTTCAAAGTAGAATCAATACAACTAATTTTCGTGTTAATTTAACATAATTTTTTTATTTATTACATTTAATGCTAATTTTTATTTACGTTTCACTGTTTTACGCTGGAAAAGTTAAATATCTAAAAAATTTTCAATAAAATTTTTCACGTCCTTGGTTTAAGCGTAAATCGTTTTTGAGTATCCACGTTGTTTTGAATTTTTGTCTTAAACGCCTCATAATTTTAGGTATGTACTGACGTACATACTTATATGTAGTACTTTTATTACTTTATTAAGTGCAGGAATTTAAATAAATGCTTTTGAAAAAGCATATTTTGCTTTCGCTTATTTTATATGCTTTTATTATTATTTTTTTTTTGTAAGGAAAAATTCTAAATAATTTTTTAAATTTACTTTGAACCAAAAATGCTCAAGCAACTAAAACCTAAATTAGCTTACATACTTGAAGTAACCAAAATGTAAAAATTTTAACAAAAGCTTCCGCTTCGAAGAAAACGTAAAAAAAACGAAACATAAATTAAAATCAATGCAAATACGTCGAACATCTTGAGTACATCTGNTCTTCCGCTTCGAAGAAAACGTAAAAAAAAACGTAACATAAATTAAAATCAATGCAAATACGTCGAACATCTTGAGTACATCTGGGCTCATTATTTTTGCTAAGCGAAAAATAAGACATACTCAAGAGGTTTGCTTTCCTTAATAGTAATTAAGCTAAATTTGCATTTATTTGTTTCAATTTCATTTTATTAATGTAATTATTAATGTAAATATTAGTTAATTATTAAAATTTTAATTTATAGTTACTTTCAAGGTATTTTCAAAATCTTCCCCAATAGGAGACGTACGAGGAAAAATTTCAAAAATGTGTTATGTATAATTTTGGTTAAGTTTTCTATAAGTACTACTTTAAGCAATACATTAATTTACGTATTCACTACTTATATATAACATGTAAGTAAGTGCTTAAATATGCAGCTACATACAAGTCGATTTTCGTTTCTTGCAGATAAATTTGATACATATTTTTTTTATAATGCCAACTATTTCTTACGTACAAACTTATTTGGGACCTTAAAATTAAATAAACAATATAGACAGTTCATAATAAATTATGATGGATAACTTTTAAAATGCACGCAATCAGAGCAAGTTTGTTGGAGAAAATGCGCTCGATTTAGTTACCGTTACACAATTTGCTATAAAAAAAAAATTAAATAAAAATAAATAAAACTTTTGCTAAATGTTTGGCCGAGCTTCTCCTCCAATTTATGGTGTGCGGCTCGATGTTGTTACACAGTAGGACGAACTTACAATTTTACGCCGCTTTTGAATGCCAAATGGATTTTAAAGTAAGCTCTTTCAAGGCAGAAATAATCTCGGATGCCTGCCATTGCCTGCCTAGGGACGACCGTTGTTATACAATTTTGTTTTTAATTTTAGAAATTGCTCGAACCAGGGATCGAACTCAGACTCTACTGAATGATAGTACGCACCTCTAACCATTCAACTACAGCCAATAAATAATTTGCTAAAGTTTTACGAAATTAAAGTTACCAATGGGCGCAGGGTGGTTAGTCCCGACGGTACGTGAGACTTATCATCATTGAAACGTAGCCAGAAAAGAACAGTCTGGTGGTTATGCTACTCGCAGACAATGTGAAAATGATTGGCATTTGGAACACAGGACCTCCAAAGCATTGGCAGCATTTTGGCAATGCCAACAGGTGTTTGGAAAAACGTGGGATCTGTCACCAAAGAGACTCCTCAGGATTTATACCTCGATGATCAGACCCACAATCAGTTAAGCGTCAGTGGAGCTGACTTTCAATCAATAGCGTACGAAATCTGCTTACTAAACTTGAAAGCATAATCACCGTGTATTGTATGGGAGCTTCCTATATAACAACTGGCCCTGTTCTTGACGCACCGATGCTCTTGCGGTTTCTTTGTGACCTCATATTTGGGGAGGACTCAAAGACCACCTGAGGACTAAAAAGAAACGGATGTTATGCAGAATTCTTAAACACCTACATTCCACGGTCTATTGACTGCAGGTTATTACAAAAGTAGTGAAATTATTTTCATGTTTGTCAGAAGCCTCAGTTTGGAGTTTTTATTGCTACTTGGCAAAACTGTATTTTCAGATTTATTTTATCAGATGTGAATACTAAGGGTTGATTATGTCGTCATGTAGAGAAATTCCAGGCTAATTTTTAAAGGAATGTATGACTATTTTTTGGAAGTTATCCATCATTTCTGACATGCCGCACACACGTTCTGCAAAATTCTAGTAACTAAAAAATATATCGTTTATCGAAATACAATAAAAAGAAACTTTATCTAAGCATATCGAGCGCTAACTAACTAAAAAATATATCGTTTATCGAAATACAATAAAAATAAACTTTTTCTAAGCATATCGAGCCCTAACCGCCTAAAAGACGTAAGCGACATTTTGTTCGAAATTTTATTTTTGATGCAGAAATGTATCTTAATGCTCTAGGAACANTTCTAAGCATATCGAGCCCTAACCGCCTAAAAGACGTAAGCGACATTTTCTTCGAAATTTTATTTTTGATGCAGAAATGTATCTTAATGCTCTAGGAACATTTTTGCATTAAAGGGAAAATTTTGAAAATAATGTCGCTTACGTATTTTTGGCGGTTAGAACCCGATATGGTGAGCTACTTTGTAAAAGTGACAGTGCTGGTTTTTTGTGGGAAATGTTTGGAAAATTTATGCGATATATAACGTTAAATGAAATATTTGAAAATAAAATATAATAAAAGGCGTATTCATGTCAGGCGCTGACCACATAAAAAACTTTAGCGACCTTTTTTTAAACATTTGTTCTTTCGATCCAGTTGCCCTAGAAGCACTTCTGCTTCAACAAGAAAATTTTTGAAACAAATATCGCTTACGTTTGTTTGGCAGTCAGGGCTCGATATAACGTCATAAATTCCACACAAATTGCATAAATATTTAAAATGTTATCAAGTTTATCGACAGTTTGTGATAAAGTAAACAACAACAAAAAATGTACTTAAAACAATTTTTAAAACTACATTTATAATTTATGTATCAGCTTTAACTATTATTTGAAATACTTTTAGCCTTGAATAATATTAGGAGATTCTTTTCCAATCACCACGAAGTATACCAGTGACAAACAGACAGCTATGACTGCACTGAGTTATGCATACATATCTACATTTATCGTAACTTTTCGCCATTTTTTTATAGCTCCGAAATTATTTACTCAAAATGCAAATTCACTTAAGGGACTGAAATATATTTTTTACGTACATATTTTATGTAACAAAATGTTCATTTGTTTTCTAATTCCTAATTTTACTTAAAAATTTACCGAAAATGTATTTGGCTGTTTTTAAGTGATTGTTTAATGTATAGAATAATAATAATGATATTGATGATATATGTTTTGTAATGATAGTTAAACTTTAGATTGCTTATAAATTTAGAATTGTTTTATTTTGCGCGCGAAGTGTGCTTTTTGCGAAAATTCTCCAAGTTAAAATTTTTGTGTTAATTACTTAAAATTTAAAAGCGTAAAGAAACATTTATTCGGTTTTAGGTAATTATTATTATTTTTTTTTTTACTTTAAATTTAATTTTCAATAAATACCTAAGAAGTTACTGAGGTACTTAGACTAAAAAAAATACACGTTTTAACTACATTTAAATTCGTTTTTTTTTTTATATAATACTTGCGTTATGGTCAATATAAGGGGGTTTTAATTCTCTTTTTCTCGAAATTGTAATAGTTTAGGTGAAAAACAATACAATTTATTATTTTTCTCGAAATTACAAGATTTAAATTAGTGACTTATTTTCAACGAATAGTATCTCGGTAATACTAATTTAATTTGTTGAATAAGAATTCATTAAATAATATGCGTTTATTCATCACTTAAGCTATGATTTTTGTTGGTTTGTTGGTTGGTTTTGAGTGCAAGAAGGGCTAAAAAACTCATTTCGTCAACTTAGTGTGTAGGTTTTGTGTGTAAGTGTGTGCTTAGCAGGCATATATCGTATGGAGCTCGTTTAAGCACATCAGAAAAATTTACTTAACATTCTGATTTTTTGTTGTTTCGCACTTTAGTGTACTTCACAGAATCTTTAAACTTATCTTTAATAAAAATATGATTGTTTTATGCATAGTTTGCTTGTTTTAATTTAATACTTCAATCGTTTTCCTCTTAATTTTAATCACTTATACTTAAGCATTTTAAATTAATTTTTCAACTATTTTGAATGTTCAAAGCTGCCTCAAAATCGTTAAGAACGTTAGTTCGCTCCATGCAAGGGGTTATTCGTTCAGCACTGCAGTAATCCCATCTAGGCTATTTTGTTCAGGCTTTCCATTCTACATATTTTATTTAATTTTCGTATTATTTTAAATTTACGCTTATATTTTTGATTGCTTGGCCAACCTAGAAAATACAGAAGAGGATTAAAAAATCTAATTCATTTACTTCATTTGCTGTAACTAAAAATATCGCTTCATCAAGTTGAATTCACCCCACTTACCTTTACTCATCTCCCATGCCTGCTCTCTCTCTCTCTCTCTCTGTCCATCTCTTTAATTCTCGCTCATATCTTTGATTGCTTGCAATATACGCTTAACATGTCCCACTTTTACAACACCCAAATCTTTGAGATCTCTACGTCCGAGCGTAAGTAGCTCTTTGCCGCGTATATCGTTCTTTAGGAAACTATCCACATATTCGGATAGCTGCATCGTCTCAAGCCATGTGACCACTTCGTTAACACTCCAATTGTTAACGGCTTCGCGTGTATTTGTCAGCTGCGGTTTGAGTTGTGTTTGGCCAACTGTAGATCCGGAACGTAGACGCACCCAGAAGGGACGTGATTTGCGTCGGCCATCACCCTGGAGAAGAAAAAAAGATTCAAAAAAGAATATTTGTTAAAATAGTACTTTGAACAATTGCAACTGAAGAAATCAAAAAGTAGTTTTTAATCAAAAAACAAAACCAACTTCGTTTCTCATATACGAATTTAAGATTATCGGATGATCGGACTCAAACCAAATTAATATGGGACAACCTGTGAGATAACACCTTTCCTTAAAAAAAAATTTTAGAAGTTGGTTTATGTGGTCCAAAGTTATGCGGTAACATACATAAAAAAAAAAAAAATTCAGACGAATTTATAACCTTCTCCTTTTTGTGAAGTCGATTAATAACAAATTTTTTGAAAAGCAGCGTTTCTAAGATATATTTTAGGTAAGTAACGAGAGTGTCGACATTTTCGATAGTATCGACATTATCGATGGCTGTAACTTTCAACTATGGCCACGACCATCGATAGTTTTCCAGCTCTATAATTTAATATTTCCCTAACTGTGCTGTTGCTCTTGTACAGACAGAGCTAGTTATTGTAGCTAGTGATCACCTCGAGTGGCTGCTAATTTTTGTTACTAGCTTAGAAAAATAGAAAATAATAATAATATTTTGGCGCCTACATTTTTGCCAAGTATTTGGCGGAGCTTCCCCTCCAAATTTATAGTGTGCATCTTTATGCGGTTAACCAGATGGAGCAGCTGGTAGTTTTACGCCTAATCCGAACGGCAAACGGATTTTATGGGAAGCCTTTTCATGGCAGAAATACACTCCAAAGTTTGACATCAACTGCCGAGGGGCGACCGTTTTTAAAACAAACGTTTTCTAACATAGACGTTGCTTGGAACAGGGACTTAGCCCAGGCCCTGTGTAGTGGTAGTATGCACCTCTAACCACTCGAACTTGATCAAAGATTGCCTGACTATTTTCAGGGACTGAGGAGTCGAAAGATACACTTAACTATTTTACACCTGCCCACTCAGAGGCCCTAGCTTTGGTCTGCATTGATCCTTAGCCCAGGAAAAGCGAAAATGCCATTGTTGGTCGCAGGAGATAGATACAGAGATTTAGTGAGATGGCCTTCGGGGCAGCATAATTTCGAGCCCGCAATATTTGGGACAGTGATGTTCATATAAGCTAAAGCTAGTAGTTGTTTCATAAATATAGACTGATCGTAAATTGCATAACAAACTATTACGAATTACCTCTTCGTTTGGCGCCAAAGCGTTGAAGTAAGCGCGCAACTTTCCATCGATGCATTTCTGTACTGAGCACTTCTTCAACTCCATTTCCATATTCGCTAAGGCCGCACTCAATTTCAACTCAAGATCCTCACGCAATATCAGACTATGCCCACGATCGCGCAACAAATTGCAGGCATCATCATACAATTGACGCGAGGAATCGATAACCTCCACAAGTTTCGTGCGTAGAGTGGGACCTTCCAGCAATTTACCCTGTGGATGTATCGACTCGAGAGCATCGGATGCACGGCAAGCAACAGCGTAGAGATCGTGTTGCAGAGATGGATGAGAAATAATCAGGAATTTCACCCATTTCACAAGCGAACTAACTGCTTCAATGAAATTCAAAAGTACATAACATTCGCGCTCCGACAGCACCTCATCCGTGGAGGTGGCATGCTCCGAGGCAGTTGACGACTGCTCGCGTTGTATTGATATGCTATGCTGACGCTGCTTCTCTTGCCACGTTTTTAACGACACCTCCAAATTGCGATTGCGACACAGCATTTGTACGCGATTTTTGTGTAGAATGCGTATCATGCCAGGCGGCTGGAGCCATGCCTCACCATCAACCTGTATGGGTATTTCTTCATCGCCCAAAATATTTATTTGCACACTCTGACACTGTGCGATGCGATGATGTTGCAAATTTATGAGACGTGATGCAGCCATTTGCACAGAGCCGAATACGGCGACAACTTCGAGTATGCGATCATCGAAGCTGGGTGTGAGGAAGATGTCATCCTTTTTGCTGGAACCCCAGAAATTAGTACCACCCATGAAGCTGTGGAGAAGGAGGAATATTATTTTGTGGGGAGAACTTTGGTAGACGCCAAGCAACACTCACCTCGGAATATTCAAGATTACAATGCCCTGCAGGGATGGCAACGGTATGCGCTGACCATCACACTCCAATTGCACGCGTTGTTCCAAATTCTTACAGGTCTTCTGCAACAATTGCTTGGATCCCAGAACGCCATACCACATGTAGTTCTTGGCCCGCGAACGGCACTTTTCTGGATGTTCCTCGCGTTTATTATGGAAATCCAGTGAGATTTTAGCATCAATGCCAATGCCGAAGTAGTTATTCATCACACATTTCTCATGATACCCTGCCAGCAAGGTTTCATCGGGGTCCATAAGTGGACTTACGGCAGCACAAAGTGTATCTGCATTGGCTAGTAGGCACTTGGATATGAAGCCAGTGCCATTCGCAAGTGCTGGTAGTAGTGAGCGTAAAAGAATTTGCAATTAGCATTAAAATTGTATTTGAACCTTAGAAGCTTTTCAGTTGCGATACTCACTTGGCCAATTTGGAAGTCGTACAAGTGGATTGATAATCGGCATTTTCCGAACGCCTTCTTCACCTGCACACTTCTCTCTATCCTTGTTGCCCTTGTCGTCGCGATCTTTGTCACCACTTGTGCCACTGACACCGCCAGCACCGAAATGATCGAAACCAAAGAGTGCTGACCCCATAAAAAGGCTAGATTTGGAGCCTCTCAATGTCTGCAGATTTGGTAGCGCTTCATTGGGCTGCAAAGAGACGATTTTATATTTTATGTATCTCAATAGTGGAAGCAATAGAACAGCCGCTAAGTAGTGTGAAAAGTATCATCGGATAGTATTGCACTAACTACTAGTAAGTAGAGGAGGAAAGTGTTTGAGAGAGTACGGTGAGTGTAACATGTTTACAAGGGAGAGTATGAGTGAGAAAGTGGAAAAGTTATGTAAATTTTGTGTGTGTTTGTGTATTTTTTTTGAATCATTTGGCTGAAATGCTAGAACAACTGTTGTATTTGAGAGCAAAATTAATTTCATTAGCATTACAAGTATTTATTGTATGAAGTGAAGAAGCAGCAGAAAGAAACACAGAAGACATAAGAGCACAAATGTTGACTGATAGTTGTAGGCGAGACGAGAAGCATAGAAGAAATCAACCGGAAAGACATTTACATAGAGTACATAGGATGAGAATGGGGATAGCGGAAACGAGTAAACAAAGCAACACCATCAAATTTGTAAGTACGTATGTATTTATGTATTTGTAATAAGTACATTATATACAATGAAATGAAAAGTGAAAGCAGGAATATAAACTCTCTCGTAATTAATGGAGATCAGCCTCGGTGCTCGCGGAATATGATCAATGTAAATTATTTCTACTTTATTGAAATATAGATCTAGAATATCTGCTGATTATTAGGTAAGAGTGCCCCGTAATATTCCTTCTCAAATATATTGTGTTATCTTAAAAGATGTGTTCTTGAATTCGTTATTTGAATATTTGGTTGGCAACCAACGTGAACCGTTGAGAGATGCTTTGAAAGGAAAATCAATTTTAATCTTTCCGTTTACGATAATGTGTGCCCCACGCCCACTAGTAAGCTAAATAGCTTCCATATATACCAAAATATATACGCTGCCGGCAAAAAGTATTGGCACAGCTGCTTTTTTACAATATGTGCAACAATTTTTATTGTAATATTTTCCGGCAATATTTTTATATAGAAATATGGTTCATTCGACAACAAAAAATATAAAAATGTAATTTCTAAACTTTGTGCAAAACTCGCGAAAATTCAGCAGATAGCAGGTATGTATGTAGATTTGTAGTCCCAGGAGTTTATATAGAGGGAAAAATGTTTTTAATACAATTTTTTGTGTATATAAATATAAATTTTTGGGCTTAAGAAAGTATAAGTTTTCTGGTATCCTTTACAACGATACCAATTTTTTAAAAATCGCTTTGTAATTTTTTTGTTTAAAATATTTTTTTTTATAAAAAAATTGTATTTTTTGATTTTAAATATTTTTTCTCTAAGTTTTACGTACGAAGTTGTATATAAATATGCTTATAAGAAGAAAGGCGGTTTAACCCTCTAGTAGGCTGAACCGCCTCCAGACTAAACACGTATTTAGTGCACCTATAATAATTTTTTTCTATACTCGAAAAGCACGATCTTTAGAAAAAAAGCGTACATTTACGACGATGTAAATTTTAATCTGATATGTCAATCCGTTTTATTTTAATCGGCAGTTGAATCACAGATTGTGAAAGACTCGGTTAAAATTAATTATTTCTTGGTATTAAGTAATTTCCTAATTAAAGAAATTTTTTTTTTTAAACATTTTTTGATACAAAAAAATTCAGTAGGTTTCGTTGTTAAAAGCACCGTATTTTGATATAAGTTTTATAATTATGTCACCATTCGAAATGGAGAAAATTGGTTTCGAACACAGACCGTCTACAGACCGGCTTGCCGACATATAAAAACCCAGTTGGCATTTTTGACCGTCTGCGGACGGGATTGCCGGTTCGTAGGTCAACATTGTGTCAGAGAAAGCTGAAAATACGTCAAAGTATATCGGCGAGCCCGTCTCCAGACGGTCTTGGTTTTTCTCCCCTGTAGGAAAAAGTTACTGTCACAGATCGAAATGGACATCATTTTTGGATTTCTCGTGCTAAACTCATAAAAAAATTGGCCTACTAGAGGGTTAATCACGTTTACAACGATATCAATCAAAATCAGTTCAAAATTGTTTGAAATATAAGGTTTTTAATTTTTCGAAGACCCGACCTTATAGCAGCTGTAATATAAGTTTGCACAAAAAAGTTATATACTATTTAAATAAGAGCAATAGGCGGACTATGTCTATATCTTTAGTTTTTAGTTATTAATATATAATAATAAAAAATAATTTTTTACCAAAGACCCTATTTGGAACTTCGAAGGCTCATATCTCGATTTCGGAGGCTAACTCCGAAAAACGGAGAAATTACTTTTTTACCTATGACAATCTTTTCAATCATTTAAGTATATTGTAACTATCAATATCTTATAAAGAGAAGTGTAAGTTTTTTTATCTAAAACTGATAAAGTTAAAAGAACGAAATATCTGAAATTTCCAAGGATATTAAAGATAAAGTTTAAAAAGGACATTTTCAACACTTATTCATCCTAGTGCAACAAAAAATTAATTTTTTTTAAATTCCACAGAATTTGTCCTTATAATTGATACCCATATTGTTACTCTACTGTGCAACAAATCCTTTAAATAATTTCTTTATTCAATCATATCCTGTAAATTTCAAACTCCTTTAAAAAAAATCCTGACGTCAGAGAGAAAAATTAAAATCGTAGTTATACTATATATGGCTCCCGGGTTTGTGAATACATGGATTTTTTGGTGGGTAAAATTGACTGTCGCACGGTCTTATAAGGCCGTAAATAACAAAATTAAATAATTGAGTATTTTACAATATTTTTATTATGCGTATCCTGTTATAGCCACGTTGAGTAAGTTGGCCATCGGTCAACTAAATACATAGCAACATTTCTATTCTATCCATATAACAGAAGTGGATTATTTTTTGAACAATCAACACACAACAATAATATGACGGAAAAAATCCTACAGGTCGGCTAAAGCTTGCTTTATCGTTAGGAATAACTCAATTTATACGCATGAGACTAATCGATTAGTAACTGCTTTGCTCAACTATTTACACCTGAGTAAAACAAAGATTTGTACATAAGGTTTACGGTAAAGGATTTAACGAGAATTTGGGGAGTTAATACCACATTTTCAAAGGGAATTCAGAAATATTCGGGTAAAGATTTGGACATTTTTGATTAAACCTAAGGATGAACTGTTTGAGAAGATAGCCTAAGGTAGACGACACGCAATGCTTACCAATGGTATAAGTGGTCTTATGAGAGCCAAAGTTGCTAAACGTATATCCGGCTCAGCAACCACAAAGAAACGTAAACCCAACAATCCATAAGCGCGCTTCGAAAGACATTTCGTCGAATTTTTCTTCTACAACCACACCCATAGCGAAGACAAATGCGTATGTATTTATTATCAAAAGATTTAATGGTAGTTTATAAGTGTGTATGTATGCATGTTTGTTTGCATTAAATGGTTGCTTGTTTGAATGAAGAAAAGGTGAGTGAATCATGTAAAAACTGTTTATTGTACATTGTAAGGTTGTGTGTAGGGTTTCACTTTGAGTAACTAGACAGTCTGTTTATGTGATATAACAGTGTTTCAACCCTGCAGTGAAAGTTACAGTATTCAAAATTTAAGACTGTAGGCGTTCACATCTGCTTGATTAGGTTATATAGTTAAAAATTACTATTCTCTAGTGCATACGATCACATATCACCAGATAAACTGATAACCAGACAGGTGTGAACAACAAATTTTTATGATTGTGGTAACAGAAATGGTAACGGTAATTTTAATGTTGTAGTGGTTATAATAATACTAGTAATAATGGTAATGGTAATGGCAATGGTAATGGTAATGGTAATAGTAATGGTGTTGTTAATGTAAATTGTATTGTTAATGGTAATAGTAATGGTAACGGTAATGGCAACGGTAGTGGTAATGGTAAAGGTAATTGCAATGGTATGGCGTTAATATATAAAATGGTAATTGTATTGGTAATGGTTATGGTAATGTCAACGGTAATTTTAATGTTGGTTAATGGGAATGGTAATAGTAACGGCAATGATCATGGTGGTTGTAATGGTACTGGTGACTGGTAACCTGGCAATTATAATGGTTATAGCAATGGTAATGGTAATAGCAATGATAAAGGTAATTGTAAAAGTAATGGTAATCGCAATAAAGGTAATAATCTAATGATAACGATTTAAACATACTTTGTTAAAAACGCTGTAACTGTTACATAATAAATGTTTGTCTAATGGTCAAGTACATACTATAAGATAAAAATTAAAAATTACAAAATCTAAGAAAACTAATAATAATACATACTCTCATCAGAATATGTTTCCGTACAGTGTTTTTTTTAATATTTGCAAGTTTTTCGTAATACATTCTTTTTCGTTAATTTTTCAACTTTTAACAATTTTTACTGACTCTCTTCGGTATTTTTTCTCATACAAAAAAAAAACTATCATGCATCCGTTATATATAGAAAATGAACAAAATCTCATAAGCAAAAAAAAATCTCAAAAATCAACCGATTATAGCCATATACTGAAATTGAGTGAGCTACAAAGCTGCATACTCAACAAAATTCTAAATTAAAAGTTGGTGAAAATTTGTCAAATTTTCCTAAATTTTGTAAAAACTTTGAACCATTTATTTATATGGCATTTGATACAAAACTGTATACTCAAAAAGATTTTGTTTAAAACTTGAAAATTTTGGTGACAATTTGTCGAATTTTCCTAAATTTTTTAAAAAACTTTGAATCATTATTGTATATGCCATTTAATGCAGAATGAACTATGTTTATATTAAAAAGCAACGAAAAAATTTATTTCGAAAAACATTGCAAATATTAAAAAAAAACACTATACGGAAACATATTCTGATGAGTGTACATACATAAAAAATGAATACATCCAATAAACATTGGGCTTGGTTAACAGTTCGAAAATGATTGGTAAAAAAATTCTCTTTTCAAGTCTCATCTTCGATAATGAATGTGGAATAGGTTAGTATTCGATTCGAGAGCTAGGCCTTTCTCCAGCAAAACGGAACCTTCATTAACCAATGTATTTTTCCTTCGTTAGGAATTCGAAGTCCCGCCCATTATCGAATAGAAATTTTAATGAGAGAGTTTGTGTCTTATATTTTTTTTTGAGAATGAGCAGTATTTCACTTTCTCTCTTGTTACTATGGTTTTGATTTTTCTTTCGAACTCATTTTGAATATATTTCCAACATACTCAGAACGTTGCAAAACTAATAGTCTAGTTGGTGTAGTCTTAACTTAACATATGTGAGAAATCGTCAATGATTACTCAACACGTCAACTTAGCCAGAAGCGTAAATATTTTGTTTTCATATTTTCCTTTTCAGCTGATGGTCACTTGGCCTAGGCGGCCAAACCAAAACAAAAAATTCCTGGACAAAACGATATTGCTTTGGCCAGTTATGTTACTTTACGTAAATTAAGTTTAGACTAACTGAACCTTAAGGTTGGTTATACGTTAGCTCTCAGTTCGATACTCATATTGGATATCGAAGGTAGTTTTTGAACGTTCGCCACAATGTTTATTGGACGGCAAAAAGATTTGCATGAAAATTAAAATAAAAAAAAAATTAATATTTTGAAACTGGTATTTCAAATTAAGTATTGTAAAACGTATTTTTTTTCGGTTTCTCTAGGTTGCTTTGTTCTTCAGCTCATCTCTAGGCAGCTCAGCTTTCTGATATAAGCACAACCTCTGCGTGCACACAAGCTCATCTGAAATTTGAGCGGTAAACACTCCGCGTTCGCTTCCACTGAAGGTTGATCGCTACCGTCGCAGTTAAAGGATAGCTTGGTTCGTGTATCTTTTATGTGTAAATATTTTAAACCGTAACTTAATTTAATGTAAATGGAATTTAAATGAAATAAAATTAAATTGGTGCAACTAGTCAGCGTCTGCATGAGGATCATACCAGTTAACGAACTACTCTGACTCAGCATCATTGAATGAACGAGTTTTGTAGTTTTTCACTGCAGGGTACTTGCATACCTCGTATTTGTCTTGATAGTGTGTGGTGTAAGCTAAGTTATACATGTATAATATACTACATTGTGTATACATATGTAGCTATTTAGTGTAAAACATTCTTATNAGTATTTGTCTTCATAGTGTGTGGTGTAAGCTAAGTTATACATGTATAATATAGATACTACATTGTGTATACATATGTAGCTATTTAGTGTAAAACATTCTTATTTATAGGCAGGTATGTTTTTGTGTTGACAGTGTATTTTTTTTGTTAATTAATGTATTGTCAGAAAGTTACAGCAGATGATTTGCAGAAAGTAGTATCGAGCGAGTATAAAAATTTTGAAATACGTACCAATTGATTTTGCTATATTTGCATTTGTTTTTGTAATTTTTTAGGCAATTGAAATATAAATTAAGAAAAATCATTGGTAAAATTGTGTGTTAACCTAAAAAAAAATCCCTAACAAAACATTAAATTTTTTTTTTTACTAAAAATTTTCGCTTTAAAATATAGATTGTTTGTATGTATAAATATTTAGTTATAACTAAAATTCACTAGCTACTGCACTAACCTTAAGTAAGTAATTAAGTAAGTAAGTATGTATCTTGTTCTCTCCTATTTGATTCTGCCTCACTCTCCCTCAATACATTAGCTTCATAAAATGTATGTAGTTACTTTCAATTAGATGCTTTCGTTCGGTACTTACCTTGAAGAGACTGCCACAGCTGATGCGTCGACTGGCGGCCGGTGAGGAGCTTAAGAATTTCGTATGCTCTGGATCTAGATTCAACAAGTTCGGATTGTAATTGGAATGTCGACGATCCTTTTCCGCATGTTCGCGCACTGTCAAGCTGGTCGTCGCATGACTCGAATGCCGTCTCAACTCCATCGGCAGCATGCGGGCTGACAAAAGACTGGCGGCCGATGCTGCATTCACTGGCTTGATTGCGTCTCCCCGCAACGGTGTTGGCGGCCGCACAACTACACTTATCTGCGGATAGTTTGGATTTACATCATCAAAGGATTCTTTCTTACACGACTCATCAAAAGTAATGCGCTTTACATCTTCTCCGTGTCCAGATTTTTTCGGTGATGAGCGTAATGCTGAGCCAAGTGTTGTTGTTGTTGTTGTTGTTGTTGGTTGGGTGGTGTTCAGAGTGTTGGTCATGGTGGGTGTTGCCTGGGGTTGTGGGGAATCACTAGAATCTAAAAATGTCGCGGACGTCGTCTCACTTTCCGCCTGAGCCAATGTCTCAATATCGCAAATCTCAATTTTTATGGCCGTTGCTGTTTGTGTGGTCAGTTCATCATCCTCAGACTGTTGACCACTCGAGTAGGTGGCGGTTGTTGTTGTTGTCGTCGTCGTTGTTGTGGTTGAGGCATCAACAGATAGTTGTTGTTGTGAGATAAGTATGGAGGATTTGGGTTTACGTAGGGAAGTGCGCTTTTTAGGACGCTTTTGGGGAGCGTAATTTCCGTCCGAGGGAATCCCGATAAAATTCAATTTGTGCGCGCGCATTTTTCGATATGATTTGTAAGTAAATTCGAAATAGATCGTTGCCGAACGAGGTTTGGATTTTTTATGCAGGCGATTCAAACAAAAAAAAAAAAAAAAAAAAAAAAAAAAAAAAAAAAAAAANAAAAAAACAACAACAAAAAGAGGCAACAAAGTTTTGGTTTAGCATTTATACACATACACCGTCAACACCATCAACAACGTACAAGAAGTGCAAATGCACCTAACTTTCTAAAAGCATTGTAAGTATGTATGTATGTATGTAACATAACGCGCACGCATACCTACTACATATTTATGTACATATCTACATATACGAACAAATATTACATATACATATATGCATTTGTCGCAAACTCACCTTGAAGCTCTGACGCGCTATATCATTGCCCTCCACAAATTGTGCCAGACTGCAGTAACGTGGCGGCTCACGTATCTTTTGGTCATCGCAACGATTGTCTATTTCAAAAACGATATTCTCAAAACCGAACTGCTGCGGATTCTCATCGCTATCCATGCGCGCCAATTGCGCAAAACGTGGTGGCGATGAATTTCGTCGTATGCCGCGCTGTCCGCCCATACTGAGCGATTGTTTGCGTATCGACTTCACCGGTGCCGGATGGGCGTCTGAGCAGAGCATCGTTGTGTCGTCGGTAATGGTGTTGTCCTGCAAAGCGCATGTGATGTCGTGGCCCAACACTGAACTGATATCATCCATGAGCGATTCGCCTGGCACTGCTTCGGTTTCGTCGCTCGTCTCGGGCGAATCGATATGTGTGAAGGAGTTCGCATCGAGATTCTGTGGAAGTGGGAATGGGCAAGAATGTAGTTCTGGTAGATACTAAGCAGTTCAAGAGATAGTGTAATGTTTAAGGAAATTTCTAATTATGAATGATGCAATTAATCACTAATCAAATTGAGCCAGAACAAACAATATTTCGGATAGTCGGGCAGCATTAATGGCCTGGGAGTCGACAACAGAGGAACGCGGCCAGTACATGAAGCATTTGAAGGCAAATAAAGGGCTTGGTATTTCTTAAACCTGCAGCCTAAATGCGCTTGCATGATCCGCGGTACACCTAACGGATGCACTCCAGAGCGACTTAGGAGCTAGTAATAATATCTGATTGCTGCCAACTAAGATAATCAAAAAGATTCATAACAACTTTCAATAGGAACTCCGATGAAGTTCTTGAACCTAGGTCGGAGCGCCTTAGAACTTTTACCGGCTACCTGGCAGAACACTGCAAGTTAAGGTACCATTCGAATAAAATTACGCCTTCTGCACAGATGGACTGCAGTTTTTGTGGGCTGGTGGCCGAAAGCCAAGAGCATACTCTACTGATACATTTTGCGGAATGATTATATTTTGAGCAGTGATTATATTTTCCATCCGAAATGTGGAAAATCGCACCCTCCAAAGCGCTTAACTCCCTAAATAGCCTAAGGTCTGAGGTTGAATGATCTGAATCGATAAACGGCCAGGACAAACATCTTGAAGGCCAGCTTTCATTTTGAGATATCGGCTAAACTAATATCACTATGTTTTCGGAGAGGTAGGCGGCGTTTAACCGCAGAGACAGTGAGAAAGAAACAGACAATATTCTAGGCCGGATCGACGCGAACACTGATATTTTAGAGACTAAATAGGCTTGTGACCGATGTCCAGAATATATTTAACTTAGGGAACACTTCCCGACTTGTTCATTTGCTATCTATAATTAAGCGCAAGTACTTCACTGTATCAGAAATCTGCAAGTAAATACCAAAAGGTCGGTTGACGGCGAGCCATTGGTGTCACTTGTTCCGCATAGGTAATCACCCTGAGGCCTTTCTTCTCCAAAAGGGTTGGTAGGTCGTTTACGACTCCTATGTGGAGCAGAGTTTATAGAACCTCTTTCAGGTTTTTTCCGTTAACTCGTAGCTGCAACCAGGTACTACCATCTCAGCCTTGACAGTTCCATCACAACGCAAGCTAAAAGCTGTTTGCGGTCGAGAAAGGTTCCGACTGTACAGTATCTATGAACGAATGCTTCCTGTATTCATTTTACAATTGTTTGCAGTGCGGTCACAAAAAAACTTTATTTTATTTTAAGCTTTTTGAACCTTAACTAAATCATCCTCCCGCTTCATATGTGTGCGTCAATATTTTCAGCGTCTTCAGTTTAAACCAACACAGACTGATTGGCATGATGTTTTACTTAAAATGTGAGAGCTCCTTCCGGCCTACGGGGTAAATGCCCTCTGTGGACATTCCAAGATGTGATTCAGCCCCCTGTACAATAACACAACAGTCATTTGAAACTGTGTGTGAATGTAGGTTATGAACAAGTTAACCGTTCACGCCATACTATAGTTATCCTTCAGCTTAGAAAAGGAAGCGCAAACCTCCTGCGTTGTTCTGATGAAGACTCCTCCTTTCGATAGGTTGCAAGAGCAATGGAAATAAAGGAAAAGGTTTAGCGACTGCTCATGGCTCACAGCCTTAATTCCTGGCTTGTCTCTAAAGTAACCCGAGGGAGCAATTAGCTCCTCTTCACCCACTTAGTTTATAACATGGTAAATTGCCTGTCCGGTTCCATAAGGGAGGGGGTTTAGACAATGGAGAATGCGCTTTAATGCTTTAAAGGAAACATTGAAATGCGAAGAATTGAAATCAAGAATTGATGTCACTTTTGGTTTCCAATATTTTCAAGTTGCTGAAAAGGTAAGAATCATTGGGGAAAGACGGAGGGAGGACCAATCTAACTACAAAACGCTAAACGAAGTATAACCAGATTTTATTTTTATTTTGAGAAGGTTCGCCACTTATATTAATTTAAAATATTTTAAATATAAAACTTCAACTCTTCAAACCTGTATAATGTCGCCCAGTTGTAATGGATGATCAGCCTCTTGCACCTCAGGTTGCCTGTCGAATATCTCTGAGGCTACACTGCATTCCTCATCACCAATGGCCGATAGCACATCACTCGCCTCACCACCTGGCAATTCTTCCGATGATGACTGCTCCTGCACAAAAACAAAAACGCAATAGAAATACCAATTTATTAGTTCATAAATCTACACCTCATCATCGAATGAACAAATTGGCCGTACAATACGTACAGTGGGTACATCTGTGTCAATGATTGTTATGCTTTCGCTTGAGTATACATTTGGGGCTTTAGGGGATATGGCTACGTTCGGTACTTGCAGTTGACAGGCCACATCACCGAAACGCAGCTCCTTAGTCTTTTCCGGCACTGTTTGCTCCTCCTTGTCGCATTCATGTTTGTGCTCGTCCTCTGAAATTGCACTTTGCTTTCGTTTCTTTTCCATATCCAATTCACGACTCATATAATAGTTGCGTTCAAATACCTCAATAGGACGATAATCCGAGAGTGGATCTACAATCTGTTCGCCAGTTAGTATTGGTACGCTGAGAAAGTCAATTTTGCGTTCAGTTGGCGAGCTAACATCACCGCCGTCTCCTACCATGGGCAAGCGATTGCCGTAGTCATCAATATTGGCACCGCCACTAAGCGATAACCTACCGACACGATAGACTATCTCCGTATGGCCGTTCTGGCCATTTTCCTCAATCTCTTGTATAACTTCGGGTACGCCTGAGCTGCGGCGACTGTCTGCAAATTGACGCGGTACAGGTAAGCTAATCGAATTGAAGAAATTTTCGTCGACTGAGTCGCGACGCGTATCGGGCAGTGGGGATATGCATGTGAGGCGAGAGCTTTCCATAGTGGGTGAGATAATGTTGATTGGCGGTATGATAGGCAGCGGCGAAGAGCAAGGCGTCGACTCACCCGAAGCGCTGGATGGTATTTTCAAAGCCTCGTAGGGCGTAATGGATAGTTTACGTTGGTAGCGCTTGGGTCGGCCTGGTTCCGAGTGTTCGACAACATTGTACATGGCGCGCTTGACACTATTGGCGCGACATTGCAGCGATTCACGCTCAGTGGAGCGCAGCGAACGGCTATTCCGACGCTCATTTGTATTGAATTGATCCTTTTCGTTTTTCTCGATTGATATGTTTGGATTACTTAAAAAAAAAAAATTGACAATTGATTAGATCTTAACTTAACTGAAATCTGTCAACTTCCACTTACAGCAGTGAGGAAGATGGCGAGGGCGTAGGCGAGGCAGTTGGTGAGGTGGGCGCACTTTTTGCTATTATATTACTGATTGTCGTTAGCAGATCATCACCGGCATGCACACCGGTCTCTTCTTCGCGCAAAGCATCCAGCAGCATACTCAACTTCTCACGCAATATGTCACATTTAATCGTTAATTGTTCGTCGTCCCTGCGACTCTCACAGATCTGCACCATTAGTTCGTCGAGTGTCTCGCAGAGTGTTTTCGTGGCAGTTACGAGCGTTTGAGTATCATCCGTCTCGACAATGGAGCGCAAATTCAAATTAGCCGCTGTAACCATACCAGTGAGCAGCGCTTCTTGTGCACTCGACAATGACATCTTCGGGGTCTTTGGTTGTACAGCGATAGCTTTCTCGAAGACCATTATGCTCCAGCGGTCAAGCATTTTAGTGCTAGCCGATTCGTAACGTTCGAGTATTTGTGGCAGATGTGCATCATCATCGCAGGATGAGCCCCAACCTAGTACGCGCGCCAGATCATTGCCGGTACCCAGGGGCATAACTGCTACTTGGCATTGTTTCTGAAGTGCAGAAAAAATAATGAGAAGGTTAGTGGAAAACTGAGCACCGATAATTGAGAATACAATACAAAAAAATAAAGTGAACTAAGTTCAGACTAAAGCTAAGTAAGTTAAAAAAAAAAGTCTGCTATACTTACATGCATATTAAACCGATCAATCTCGCTGAGCACCCAACCCACAGAACCATCGCCGGAACAAACCAATATCCGAAACATTTCAAAATGCCTGAAGAGACGCAATCCTAAACTGGGGCCGGTCGATATGAGGTCGAATACTTGCGCTGGATTTAAGAGCTGTTTGAAGCGCCGCAAAAATTTGACGCCCTGATTGTCACCCGACTTTGAATTGACGAACACTAAAAGCGGCGAAAAGTTTCCCTTCGGGCTTTCCACATCCCAAGAGTCATCATTACCAATGGAGTGCACACAAGTGGGTGGCACCACCGACAGCTTGGCTGGTCCTTGTGGGCATGCGACAGGATGTTGTGGACGACAAGCAACGTGTACCGTATCGCGACACCACAAACAACGCCAATCCTGTAGACGCAGCACAGAGCCACACGTTTTCTTGCAAACNCGGGCATGCGACAGGATGTTGTGGACGACAAGCAACGTGTACCGTATCGCGACACCACAAGCAACGCCAATCCTGTAGACGCAGCACAGAGCCACACGTTTTCTTGCAAACGGCACAAGTCGACGACACCGGCAAATTACCCTCCATCCATTGATGTGGCATTATGATGCTGCCATCACGATCCTCAATGATATCCTTGCCAACGGTGGCCAATGTAGTCCACTTGCAATTGGCAATCGCTTTGGCGGCACACCGCTTATGTACTTTACATTTGCATACTTCGCACGAGAGGCCATGCGAGGTAACGCCGGACAGAGCATCGCGGCAAACATTACAGTAGGTGGGTCGCGCGTGAGATGTTGCATACCAGTGGTGGTGGTTGAAGAACAAATCGTGTTGTTCTATGTAGAAACTATCGCCGCGCGCACGTGCCGGTATCGAGGCGGATTTGAGCGAGGTAACCCAGTCTTCCATTTCGCGGCGGGACTCGGCACAAAGCACTAGTGAACGTGTTGCGGTAATTACCTGAAATGAGAGGAGGCAGAGAGGAGATGATATTAATCAAATTCACAATACAATAATTAAGATAAGATGCCTGATAAATATATATGTAAATATGTATACAGGGTGTCCTAGACGACCTCTCCACCCCTTCTAAAATGGTGGCAAACATTTTTACTGAAAAACGCAAAAATATGACCTACCAATACGGAGATGGTCTAGCTTTGGTGGTATTACCCACGTCCGGTTTCGACGGGAAGTAGGTTAAACAGACCAGAAGCCCATTTTTTTAATTAGACAGACATGTTTTTACTACAGACTCGGATATGGAAAAAAAGCTGGTCACTTTTGATTGAAAATTTTTCTCAGAAGCTCCTTTTTCAACCTCTAAATGAACTTTGAACTTAAACTCCGTCCCTGGACTTCTAAAATTTACAAACGTTTTTTTAATGGAAAAAAAATTTGTATGAATCACCAAGTCGGCGATGCTCTATCTTTCGCACTTTCGGCCGGCAGTGGATTTAAGAAACCGGAAGTTCATTATTTTAACCGGAACTACATTCCAGAAAAGAAATTTCCGACAAAAGACATGAGGGTCTTTAATTATCATCTGAGAAGCAGACCCACATTAACACCAGCTAATAAATATTTGCCGTGACCAGTAGTCAAAAAGAATTGCACCTCAGGCACACCACCATACTGCAGAAATTTGTATTACTCTTAGTTACTCTTAGGCTTAAATTTGCTTATTAGTACTTGTCTTCATATTTATCATCGTAAGTAATAATATTGGCAATGATAATGCAACAATAATATTAATGGTAACGGTAGTGGTAACGTTAGTGGTAGATGTCGGTAATGGTAATTGTAATTATAATGATAACGGTAATGTTACTGGTAGCGCTAGTTGTAATGGTGATGATGGTGATTCGTTCATGTTCGTCTAAGCCTTCGTTCTCGCATTCGCCTTCCGGATATTCTTAGTATTCGTCTTTGTAATATTTTGCGCATTGGTCTCCAATTCTGTATTCGCATTTGTCTTTGTGTTTGTTTTTGTATTCTTCGTCGTATTCGTCTTCGTGTTTACCCTCGCTGTCCGCTTCTGCCGGTTCATCTTCCTATTCGGATTCCTCTTGGTGTCATTTTCGTATTCGACCTGGCCTTCGCTTTAGTATTCGTCTTCGCCTCAGCATTCGTTTTCATTTTCGTGTTTGGCTTCGTTGTCGTATTCGCCTTCATGTTGGTCTTTTTCTCCGAAGTGAACTAATATTTACGACATTATTTACTCCATTCTACTGACATTACCTCTTTTTGTCTGTGTGCTAATGTCATTGAATGCGAATTTTAGTCAATTGACATTATTGCACATCACCTTTTTCTTCGCATTCCTATTCGGTTTCGTATTCCTTTTCATATCTTTAACCTTGTTAACAATGAAGTCTAGATGTACAGTGCTTTTGCCTTCTGCAAACTCTCCAAAGATGCTAACTGAAAAAAGATTTCAGATCCAGAGTCGTCATTGTTGTGAAACAGCNAACTGACATGCAATTCCGGTTCAAAGGTAAATCTACCGCCGCTTTGATAATCATAAACTCACATCCATACGCCCACAAACATATGTAGTTATATAGTATACATACGTACACACATATACCCACACATAGTTATGCAAAAGAGTACCTGTTTTGGATGCATGCGTTTGGTGGTTTTGGTGAATAGTGAATAGCAAGAAATAAAAAAGGAAAACTTAACTACAGGTTACATTTCTTTAGAAAATTTATGGAGTAACAGAGGTATAGAGAAAGGTAAATATATTGGTAACGGTAATGGTAAGGTAATGGCAATGGTAATAATAACGGTAGTAAAAATGCTAACGGTAACGTTAGTTGTACAGATTATGGCAGTGGTAATGATAATGGTAGCAATAATGATAAAGTTATTGGGTGGTGATGGTAACGGTAATGGTAAAGAGAATGGTATCGGTAATGGTAATGGTTATGGGAGTGGTAATGATATTGTATGATAATAGTAAAAGTAATGGTTAAGAATATAGTAATGTAGCAGTAATGGTAAAGGCTATGGCGGTGATTTGTAATGCTTTGTAATGTTAAAGATAATGTTAGTGGTAATGATATGTAATGCTTTGCCATAGGGATTAACATTAACATTACCAATACTATTACCATTACCCTTACAGTTACCATTGTCATGACCATAACAACTACCACAACTAGTAATAGTATTGGTTATGTTAATGATAAACCTTTTGTCAATGGTAATGTTAATGTTAATAGCAATAGTAACGGTAAATATAATCGCAGTGTTAAAGATAATGTTAATGGTAATGGCCAAAGTATTCAAAATTCACCTACTAAGTAATTTGGGCTATCACGCTTCATATATACAATACAAAAGCGGACCTTCATCACATAAAGTAAACCATAAAATTCGGTCCATCTTTTGACTTTGTAGCTCAATTTAATTTCCTCCTATACACCTATATGCAATGCATACATCCCTGTTTCATCAACGTTCTTTAATCTTAAGCATATTTGCCTATTTTACCAACTCAACAAGACTCCAATGCAATTTCCGCTACTTAAAGTTTCACTCATTGCTACGTGCCGTCAACATCAAATTGTTTTGCAGATTTCAATTATTTGGCGTCAGCGAAAGTTGGCTAACAATCTGGGGCAGTTGAAGTCAAAGTCAACTTGAATAGTGGAGACAAACAGGGTGCTTAGAAAAATGTAGATCTTGCATAACTAACTACAAAATATTATACATATGTACATATTCTCCAGTGATCAGAGGTGCGCATTATTACTCCGTAGGACCAGGGTCCTCGGCAGTAAATGACAAACCTCCGATAGCACTTTTGCCATGAAAAAGAGCTTCTTATTGAAACCGTATTAAAGCTTTTGCCATTCGAAGGTCGCGTGAAATCGTAGGTTCCTCAATTGGTGTAAAAATATCAAAACGCATGCTATAAAGTGGAGCAGAAGCTCGGTCAAACAATTAGGAGAAGTGTAAGCTCTAAAATATTATTATTATTAACTTTAACACCAGGGTATATCTTAGGTAGATATTATTTTTAACTTCAAGCTAATGTGGAGGCTCAGTCTCGGGTGAAGGCCGCAGAGAGTCCTGAAAACAGCAGCAGGCTCAAAAGGGCCCCTTACTTTAAGGGCATCAATATTAGAGAGGCCAACATGACCGGATCAAGGTTAACGTATTATGAGAGTTTCGCTTCAGGAGTCTTACATTATTTCCAATTAGGTAAGAATGGAAGGTTGAATAATTTGTTAATATAATTACAATGTAAAAATATACTTTAACAAACTCTAGTTAAAGTTAGTTAAAGTATATATCCTTGATTGGGGTACGTTAGCAAGTGCTAGGCACTCGAAATGGGCACGGGACGGGCTTTCGGTTGGTTCCTGTGAAAGCCTGGTAGGTAAAAGCAAAATAAAAGCAAAATAAATGTTGAGAATGAGATATTTTAGCAATCACTTCACGTCAGTGAATTTGCCAGTTTTGGAGTATCGTAAATGGGAAAATGGTTTGAAAATGCTGCAAGCGATTCCAGTAAGAATGTGCCTATTGAACTTAACTGCAACCTTTGAAAGTAGCTAGCGGGTGTTTTTTCGTATCGACAAAACACATTTCTAACAAAAGACGTGACAGCGGTGTATTTACTATACATAATCAAAGTTAGAAAAATTATGGTTTTTGTAAAAATATGGAGAAAACTATAAAGTTTTTGAAAATTTTCAAGAAAATTAAAAATATGATAGGTATGTATGTACATAGGCATGATACAAAAAAGAAGGTAGTTTCAATAAACAACTTTTGACGGATAATACAATTTTGTTGAAGTTTCATAAATTGTGAGTATTATCATCGGCCTTGCCACTTTGGTAATATTAAAACAATAAATCGGAGTATTTTGCTTCCCATATTTATACCAATGTAATAATATTTCAAATCAAAAACCATCATCAGTACTTGGTAATTTTTTTTTACTAACGTAGCTCGCACTATTTTTATTAAAAATATATAAAATATAGATTATTAAAGAAGACTTCATCGTAATTGTTCTTTTTATTTTATAATAAAAACCACGCGTGCATTCTGCTGTTATTTTTTCGTTTTCTTATTTTGAATGCAACCCTGCGATCTAAAAATCTAATTCTAAAGAATGTTCTTCCCAAATAAAACCTTTTTATATTTAGGTTAAAATTTACTTTTAAATTTCTCATCAGATTTTGCAAAAAAGTAGCTTTCACAAATTTTGAACTTAAAGTTTCTAATGTATACGAAAAACCTGAAGTCGGCTTGAACAGTCCGCCCTCCGATAAACAATTAACATATCGTCGTATAAAGTACAAAACCGCGTATCAACAAAATGCAAAACTGCCTATGTGAGGTTGCATAAATTATTTTCCAGAGAGTAAAAACACTCATATTTCAAAATGGTTCTCTTTTTTATAAAGCAATCACATTTCTGGTTAGTATATTTTTGAACGAATGGATAAGACTTGAGCCAAGAGCTAGTGTGAGCAAATCCAATTTTTGGCAAAAAATGTCAGTTACGCGGTTTTGCAGAACGACGATACGCGGTTTTGTACTTTAAACGACGATATGGAGGTATAATTTTGATCACTTCCTACATGCGTTCGGAAACCTAGTCATGAACCCCATTTTCGAAATTATGTAGCCGGCATAATTTTCACGTTCATCATATTCCTTCTTCTTTGAATGTACTGATAAAATCTTCTGCTTAAAAAAAAATATTTCTTCTAGTGATCAGGTAGCATGAATTTGATGAAATGTCATAATTTTATTAAAAGTCAAATGGTTAACAACAACAACGAATATCATTAAATGGAACTACCTTCTTTTTTGTATCATGATGGTACATAGGTGCTTCGAATTTTCAGTACAAGCTTTTTCATTGAACTTTTTTTTTTGTAAAATAATAATAGCTATGGTTAATTTTATTGTTACAGTTAATAATTGTGGTG